TGGACCCTACTTGTTGGACCTGATCTCACTAGGACTAGATCCAACTTTGTCCTATGGTACCCACATTTAGTATTTATTCATATTTGACTCTACCGATCTTACACAATTGTAAGGACCTCAGTATCTTACACTAGTATTATTACTTCAATTGAAGTTTATGGTGCGTCTCGCTTAGAACCTAGTGGAAAAATGCATCTAGTTTATTCGTGATATGATGGGTTAGTTACTAGTGTAAAAATTATATACTACCTGTTATTCCCTTTAACCATAATTGCGCTCAGCCACCTGGTTCTGTTCCTATTCTTGTCAAAACATTTGAACCTAATTTGCTTGCCTACAAGTTCATATCCAAATTCCATTTCCAACTTTCCAGCAAAAATTTCCTTTATGTTGTGATTATTCATCAGAAACCCCAGGACCATAATAAGGGATTCACTTTATTGGTCATGAAAAGTATCTTTAGATACGAGGGATTCATCACTAAACACGATGCACTTCAACATGATTGATGCTACTTTCATGCTTGTTGCTGCTGCTCACGTTGTGTGCTGGGACACTATATCATTCATCATTAGATTTTTTTTTCCTCGGCCATGATTTGAGTATCTAACTATGCGGGCGTATTAACATTCACAATTACAGAAGACCAGAAAGGTACTGGAAGAGAAGATTGCACAGCTGAATTCAGCCATTGATGGTGTCTCTTCCGAGCTTCGAGCAGATGATGCTCCCAATGGTGCCATGCCAGAAGAAATTGAATCTGCAACCTAAGAGCAAAGCAAAGAACAATGCAAGCCGATATCTGCTACTGTAGGCAGATATTCCCCCCTGTTCTTTTTTGAACCAAATAAATGGTTTAGGGACACAGTTCTATTTCAGCAATGTGTTGACGAAACATATTTTCTTCAGACGTGTGTTTTTGTGGGTAATTATGCAATACATTATTGTGAATGGCAGAATCAATAGCTCAATCTCTTTGGTATTTCTCTTCCAAAGAAGAAAATTACCAGCTATAATTGTTGTGAATTGGAAGTAAAGCTAGTAGTCTTAATCAAGTTTTGGACAATATTAATATTTTAATGAGTTTTGAGCAGATTTGATTGTGGATCTTTTTTCATAAAAAGTGAATTTTGCCAGGATAAAACTGTCTTTTCCTCTTTTTTTTAAAAAAAAAATTTATGAGGAACCTTAGCTACGTCAAAAATTTACAGGCAATGGGCCGTTACTTCTTTTATTTAATGATGACAAGATGTTATTGCAGTGGGTTCGATTCTTGTTCTACCAGATTTTTGGGTAATTCAAATTCATGAAAGACGATTTCACAAATACATAGTCGTGTCATATTTTCTAAATACATAGTCGTGTCATATTTTCTTAGTTTCCTTCTAAAGGTATTTCGTTGTTCTGTTCAATATGTCTCTCTAAATCAAGCATTCAAAAAGCCATATTAAGTTGGGCAAAAACCTTAAGTCTTTTCCATGACCAATTAACGTGACACCAAGGCAGATATGTGTAATTTGTTATCTATTTTCTTTACTTGCAGTTTATGATTCAATCATTATGTCAAGACTAGCATGCCAAAACTAAATCAATCCTAGAATACAATAACAAAAAAAGTAATTGGAAAATGAGGTGATCAAGCATTCAAAAAGCCATATTAAGTTGGGCAAAAACCTTAAGTCTTTTCCATGACCAATTAACGTGACACCAAGGCAGATATGTGTAATTTGTTATCTATTTTCTTTACTTGCAGTTTATGATTCAATCATTATGTCAAGACTAGCATGCCAAAACTAAATCAATCCTAGAATACAATAACAAAAAAAGTAATTGGAAAATGAGGTGAATGAAAACAAGCTTCCCCCTCCCAAGACTTTTTCAACGCTCTCAAAACCCCCAAATTCGTAACAAATATGCACTGAGCCCCCAAAACACAAAGACCAAGAGTATTAAAATTTGAAGACCATAATACCCTTTCTCTCTCTTTTTCTTTCTTTATCTGTGATGATTTGAAAGGGTTCCTCCGTCCCTTTCCCCGATGGCGGCCGTCATCATGTCCCTCAGCAGGGTCCCCACCTCCGCGATGAGATTGCCCCCTCTGCCGTCAACCTCGCCGTCACGAGCATCGCCCCGCGCACCGGTATCCTCCCAGGATCCACATCAGCCTCCCCAACCTGGGCCCCACCATAGTAAAGCTGGAGAGAACGAAGCATAGTTAGGGTTTTTGATGAGGAGGTCGAGGGTCATGTTGAGCTCCACGCGGATGGCCGGGAACGTGACACGTGGAGAGACGCCGGTGACGGCGAGGATGAGCAGGAGGAGGTGATGAGCAAGAGGAGGATGACGAAGTTTACGGCGGCGGTCGTGGTGCATGTGCGTCGGATTTTCAAAACCTGGATTTTGTTTTAGGTGGTGGGCACTTGCTGTGATTTCGTGGCTTCCTCGGTTCGTTTTGAGATTGAGGAGGTGCAAGAAGGAAGTGGGTCATGTTAGTGATTTTAATATTTTTTTTATTTTTTGAAGGGTTAATTGAGGAGGTGGAAGAAGGAAGTGGGTCCTGTTAGTGATTTTAATCTTGTTTTTTTTGTTTTTTGAAGGGTTAATTGTTGGTAATTTTCTTTTTTCTTACTGATTTTTTGTAAGATTCGGAAACATATATAACAATATATTTTTAGAAAATGAATATTTCACTTTTAATTTTTAGGGAAATTATAATAATATTTCACTTTTAATGAGATTTTCAAAAGCCAAGTGATTTACGCGTTGGTTGTGAAGGTTACGCGTCGCTTGTTAAGGTTACGTGTTGCTTGTTAAGGTTACGTGTTGGTTGTTAAGGTTACGGGTTGCTTGTTATGGTTACGGGTTGATTGTTAAGAAATTTTTGCATGGAACTGATGATGGCTACGATATTCTACAAACCTTATTCCGGGTTACGGGTAACCTTATTGCTAAGAGCCTAAGAGCCTTGTTGCCAAGGTTACGTGTTTGTTGTTTAGATTACGGGTTTGTTGTTAATGTTACGGGTTTGGTTGTCAAGGTTACGGGTTGATTGTCAAGGTTAATTTCACAATAAACATGTAACATTAACAACAAACGCGTAACCTTGACAACAAACCCGTAACCTTGACAACAAACGCGTAACCTTAACAACGAATATTCTAATTAGTTGTAAAATTAACCTTAACAACAAACCCGTAACCTTGACAACAAACGCATAACCTTAACAACCAACCATTATTCTTAACAACGAATATTCTAATTAGTTGTGAAATTAACCTTGACAACAAACCCGTAACATTGACAACAAACGCGTAACCTTAACAACCAACCCTTATCCTTAACAACAAATATTCTAATTAGTTGTGAAATTAACCTTGACAACAAACCCGTAACCTTGACAACAAACGCGTAACCTTAACAACCAACCCTTATCCTTAACAACGAATATTCTAATTAGTTGTGAAATTAACCTTGACAACAAGCCCGTAACATTGACAACAAATGCGTAACATTAACAACCAATCATTATCCTTAACAACGAATATTCTAATTAGTTGTGAAATTAACCTTGACAACAAACCCGTAACCTTGACAACAAACGCGTAACCTTAACAACAAAAGTGTAATCTTAACAACCAAAATATATATACATATAAATCCCAACGTGTAACCTTAACAACAAACACGTAACCTTAACAACAAATCCGTAACCTTAACAACCGACCACTAATCTTAACAACCGACGACAAACCTTAACAAAACACAATAGGAGACAAATAATCAAACTTCAGGCTTAACATAGATTCTATTTATGCCATAAAGGAAAACATATCTCAATACTAAAACCTCACACACGCATAAATTAATTCGCATCCATCAAAGAACACCAACAACAAACTACAACCCACAATCAAAGATACTCTTTTTTTATTCCCACATACAATAACACTATTATTTAGTAAAAACAACCTGAAGCAAAGAAACAAGACAAATGCTACCTAAGTGGTGAGGATGGGGGGCATGTAATCAGACTTGGTTCAAATAACACGAGCCTTTGTATCGGGGAAAAACTCCGTCCTTGGGAGCTCTGTAACAACTCCTTCACTGCTTACTCCAATGGGATAGCTAAGTAAATGTCCAGGGAGATCGCGTTCCTGAGAGTAGAGATCCCAGTATTTGTCAGCGATACGCTTCACTTTCTGTACAAACTCGACGCTCTCTAGATGGAGGAAGAAATCAGATCGTCAATGCCGGGGAGACGGACTGCTCGATGATGGCGACGTTGATGTCGGGGTTCTTGGAGAGCTCGTAGGCGCAGGAGAGGCCGACGGATTCGCCGCCACCGCCACCGCCGCCGCCGCCGACGGTGTTAGCGTAGGTGATTATGTCGGACATGTAGCGGCGGGTCATCTCGCGGGAGACGATGGATTCTTTGATGGGGCGGAAGCAGATGGAGGAGAGGTCGTAGGATGTGGAGATTTGGGGGCGGAGGATGACAATGATAGGGAGGAGAAAGATTGGGTTTTGAAGGCGGAGATGAGCTTGAGGCCATGGAAGGAGGAGAAAGAGAGGAGGTTGCGGTGGTTAGGTTTGGAGAGGAAGGAGGATGTGACAATGGAGGGTATTATGGTCTTCACGTATCTTAATTTCTTGGGTTTTGTGTTTTGGGGGCTCAGAGAACACAGAGTTTACTTTTGGGGGTAAAACACACGTTGAAAAAGTCTTGGGAGGGGGAAGCTTGTTTTCATTAGTTTTGGGGGCTGGAAGCATTTTTCCCTATATATATATATATATATATATATAGAGAGAGAGAGAGAGAGAGAGAAATGTGTATGCTTGGTAGTGAGGTGGCATAATCCCCTTCACTCATTCAAATGGTTGCATATCCTCATGCACTTCTCAACCCATGTGAATGTGGTCCCCCATTTGCAGAGAGAGAGAGAGAAATGTGTATGCTTGGTAGTGAGGTGGCATAATCCCCTTCACTCATTCAAATGGTTGCATATCCTCATGCACTTCTCAACCCATGTGAATGTGGTCCCCCATTTGCATGAGTGGAGGGTTTGTGTTACCTTACTACCAAGCACAAAATTTATGCTTGGTACCAAGCATATCCATATTTTCTCATATATATATATAGAAATATGTGTATGCTTAGTACCAAGCACAAAAAGTTGTGCTTGGTAGTGAGGTGTCACACCTCCCTCCACTCATTCAAATGTGGGACCACATTTACATGGGTAATGAGTGGATGGGGATGTGACACATTACTACCAAGCATACCCATATTTCTCTCTCTCTCTCTCTCTCTATATATATATATATATATATATATATATATATATATGAGATTAATGTGTATCATATGTCATATGAGAGGATTCCCTCATATACAATGATGTGGCACAATCTCCACCAAGTGAATAAAGTAGGAGAGAGAATGCCTCATAAATACACTTGGTGGAGATTGTGCCACATCATTGTATATGAGAGAATCCTCTCATATGACATATGATACCCATTAATCTCTCTGCTCTCTCTCTCTCTCTCTCTCTATATATATATTATATATATATAATATTATAATATAATATATATATATATATATAATATATATACTATCTATATATATATATATATATACTATACTAATATATAGTATATTATAGTACTATAGAGGAGACGGAGAGAGATAGAGAGAGATATGGGTCATGCTGGGTACCCAAGCACAAAAAGTTATACTTGTAGTGAGTGTCAAAATCCTTCCCTCCACTCATTCAAACTGGTGGGGAACAAATTCACGTGGGTAGGCAGTGGATGTTTGGGTATTTTACACAGGTCATTTATCAATGCACATATAGAATTTGGCGCTGTGTACCAAGTGCATGAGCTCATATGTTTGCTGGGCAGGTAGGGGTGGGTAATACTATATATAATATATATATATATAATATATATTTAATATTACATATATATGATATACTATTATATAATTATATTATATATATACTATATATATATATATTATGTCGTGTTGAGATTAATGATATCGTAT